CTTGACTGTTTTCCGATTCTGGATTATGTGCACTGGTATACGGTGTCATGAATTTCTTGCTTCTGGAATTAGTCTAGAATAGCTGTAGACAGAACGTGGAGACACAGTCGAAAGATCGTGCGTTCGAGTAACGCTTAAGTCGCTTCCCTTTAATCCGTTTCAGCTTCAAAAATTAATATCGTTTCTTGGGAAAGCCACAAAATAACGAGAAGTTATATTAATCACATTGATATAAACGTAGATTTAAAAAATCCATCAATGTACATTTGATTGATGAGATCAAAGCGAAGTTCATTTTCTCACTGTTGGCTACGTGAAAAAAGGGTGTGCCGGAAAACGCTACAAATTGTGCTCACTTACGGAACTGCCTTTCCAGCGATTACCGAATTTTTTCTTTATGTCTCGTACGCAATCAGTAACTAGTAGCGAAGCTTCTTGTCATGAAATCTCATTCGTTACCTTGAATATATTCGACCCACGTCACCAGTACTGCTCAACCTCTCTCTTCACCCTCCGATCAGCTTACATATACGACTCCTTCCGTATCAGAGGCGTCTTTCCTGAGGTTTTGTATCGATGACGTAGTCTTTCAGAATTGTCTCTGTGGTGCCAAGGCGGCCGTCCACCTGCGAAGGCTTGACAACGACCAACGTACTAGGCAGCATGACAGGGCAAAGCAATGTGAACTCGATAAAACCAAACATGAACCCATAAACAGTCGCATAACGAAACGATGTTGACCAGACTACATTCGTCATGTCACTCGTCGTCATGTTCCTTAAAGAATTTTTGTTTCGTTCAAAAGTCTCTGACTACCTACTAAGACGAAGGGATCAGAGAACACCGTCTTTGTATATCGCCATATTTTGATTTACGCCAATCCCCTTTAGCATTTTTCCATATTCCATTACTCTCAATGTTAGTAGCATGGTAAGCTTATAAAACGTATTCACTCTAAACTTTCGATTTAAAGTATTGTTTAGTTGTCGGTATCGACTGTTACGTCTGCTCGTCTATCAATCGAACTAATCCATATTGTGAAGATACGTTCAACACAAACTACCCGAACATCAACTACCTGCAGACCAACTGCATGGCGTATCGCAAGGGCAGAAGTGGCTTCTTCCCCGCTGACCACTGCATCAAAATTAACGGCATTTCAGGTGAGTATTCTATTAAACAACTGAAATGAAATTAGAAAATTCATATTCCTTCGACAGATACTTTAACCATAACTGCACCCTTTTAGCGATAGCTCAAAAACA